TGTAAAAATATATAAATTAGTTTAAGTAAATTTATTTTATATAAGTGAGCTTGATAAATACATAAACCAGTGCATAGAATGTATGTATATTGTATATAATATATTAAATCTATTTAAGTATATAAAATAAATATCATCAAACCGTTAGTACATGGTTCACGATTTCATTTATAAAGTCATTGCAATCATTAAATTTATTGTTTTCAACAATCCAATCCCATTCTAAATGGTCATCCAAATCACATTCTGATGTTGCATCGTCAACTCCTAAAAACCCATACACATTTACATTAATTATAAAAATTACAAAAATAATAATTTATTTTCTTTAAACACATTAGATATTTAGATAGGTACCTATTTTATATTTAACCTATGCACCTAAATATCTATATATTAATTATAAGAGTACAGACATTATAAAACTTTTACTCAATGAAAATACCCATTAATTTTATTCAACTTATCATAAATAATAATAACAACTATAAATACTCAGTTTAATAAAAATAAGAACAATATTATGTATCAAAATTAATAGTTTTTTATCAGTTAAAATCAGTTAATTAATATAACAATCAAAATGATTATACTCTGTTAAAAGAGACAACATGCAGAGGCCCGACTCAAAATCAGTTTTTCTGTGCATCCCCAAACAACACCCTGCCATAGGGGAACCAGTTTTCATAGCAGGGTGACACGGGAGAGAGGGTGCACTGAACTAGCATCATCTCTCGTGAAACAGAGTATAGTATAACTACTGTTATTAAACCTTTTAATATATTTAAAATGTATAGAAATAAATAATTAAGCTATAATCCAAGTCCCAAATAGTAATAACAATTATAGTACCAATACATTTATAATAGATTGCGTATATTGTGCTCTTTAAATGTTATCAACAATAAAATACCTAGTTGCATGCACTATTAATATTGGATCCAATTATCCCTTTCCAACTATTATTAATAAGTAGGTTATATAATATTATAAAATGGTACCTTTAATACTTTATGTGCATACAACTATATGAAATCATCAATTTAATTTATTTTACCAAAGCACGAATAAAGATATTTAGATATAAGATATCAAAATTTGTGTACCAAAGTAGTTTATCATAAATTAAAGTTTTAAACCACAATGGTGTCATATTATAAGCGGATATCACAATAGGTAGGTATTTAATTATATTACATTATTACCTGTGTAAGTTAATATTATAAAATACTTACTAAAATCATTATTTTATTTTCTATTCAATATTTACCAAAGAATTATAAGGTGGTAATAACTAATAAGTAATAGTATAAGTATAATACATACATTAAATACATGTATAGGAATTTCATGTAAGTACCTATGTAAACTTAGGCAAAAATATCAACAGTAAAAAAAATAAAAAATAATAAAATTAGTTTGCTAAGTATCTAGCAGTGCCAAAATAATAACAAACCCATTTTTTGATGTGTAATAATTCAATGATATTATGCAGTAAAAAGCTGATTTGTCAGAAATAGTCAGGATACGAACAAAATTGTTACAAAACAATGTAGGTATATCTACTGTCATACAGACTACAGAGTGTAACAAGAAGCATTGACAATTGAAATAACTTGTGTTTTAATCAATATTTTTTAATTTTTTTTGTATAATATAGTTTATTTCCTCATGTGCTACATACATAATAACACATTTTTGTTATTATTTTTTAATACTGACAGTAAACAATTTTATTAATCTGATTTAAATATTTTTTGAAAATTTAAGAATGGCCTGGGATAAATCTGGTTTATAGAAAACGTTTTTTTTTTTTTGTATGTGTCTGTCAACACCTTTTGGGGCAGTAAAAAGGCTTTAATTGTATACTTCTTTATTACATTCACGTAGGAAAGTGAATCTAGTTAGTACTTTTGTGGGTCAAAAGTAAAAGATTCTCAGTACTTTTCAAAGGTGTCAGAAAAAACAAACAAAAAGTTAAGGAAAAACAGATTTTTTACACAAAACCAATTTACTGAAAAATAACCATTATTACATCAAATTTTTGTCGAATGTTTATACTTGCATTTTCTATACACAAGGAACTTTATTAAGTACAATTTTTTTTTATAAGTAATTAGTTCAAATGCTGACAAATATTTTCAAAATATCGAAAATTATTTTATTGTTAAAACATTATAAAATGTCGGGTAAAATATTCAATTTTTATAGCTAAAAATTGAGTTTAGAACAAAGATTCTCATAAATAGTTCATAATGTAACTAAAAAATCTACAAAATATATGAACACCGTTCTTTTTTAGACATTTTAAGTTCAAATTTGGACGGAATTAAAAAATTAAACAAAGAATAATGGTTTTGGTTTTTTAGTAGTTAATTAAAAATATTTTTTGTGGTTGCTTGAAACTTTTAGAGTATATTATTATATTTTATACAGACAAAGAAATTTTCAATATTTTTCCAAAAAATGAATTTAACCTACTCGAGTACTAATGCTTGATAGTATATTAAATTACTTTAACCACAATAATATCATAAAATATACATATTATATGTGTTATGCAAGCGTAAATGATACATAAAAAAATTTTTTTAAATATTGATTGGAATTAATTATTTCATTTGTCAGGTCACCTGTACACCATGGTAATTGTTTATTCAAGTAAATATGAGCATATCTAAATAAAGTTTAAAAAAAGAATATGGTTACAGATCAGTCACAACTGCCAGGTAATAACATTTTTCTTCAAAAGACCTCTAAATATTTATAGCTTAATTTGTTCGTCCAATTAATCAGCCTTTTACTGTAGCAATAGTACCATTAAACTAACATATCATTAAAATTAATTAATTAATTAATCATCATTCAGAAAGAATTTAAGCTGGAGACTTTTTCCAGAGATTAGTTCTGCATAAGTACCCTGTATAAAGTTCCATCCTCTTTCTTTTCTTGTGCATTCATCGGCAGTGATTCTAATCAGTTTTACATTATCATAATTTGATTTGAACCATGCAATATCAGTCTTTCTTCTAGCATCACTCACAATCCATATATCTTTTGAATGGTCTAAAATTATATATATTCGATTTTAAGAAATTACTATTTTCTGTATTATAGATGAGTTATGTAAATATACTGACTTTGATCATACATATCTATTGCCATACGACAAAAATAACCATAATCATTTGAGCGTACATTTTCACTCCATTCAATCATTGACTTTCTGTGTTGTTCCTTCATTTCACCATCACTGAGAAGTTCATCCAATTGAAGTGATTTAGTTTGGGCCCAGTGCTTTTTTATGGGGCCCGAAAGACGAATTATCACACTTTTTTCTGATCCAATTCTATAATTGTTAAGTTTATATAATTGATTATCATAAACATAAAATAAAACTAACAGTATAATTTTATTCTACAAAAAATATTTAATAACAACAACATATTCCATGGGACTTTTATTATTTCATTCAGTTATAAATTACCTATTTATAAATAAAAAAATGTTTGAAGTTCTTACAAGTATTTTACAAATTATTAAGTTTTTCTAAAATTTGATTTACAATAGTTTCTACTTCGGCCATTGCACCAATACCGTGATCACCACACATTAATGTCTTAACAATTGGAGGAATCAGACAATATCCCCATGACGCCAACTTATCCACTTGATCTTTAGTTACTGGATGATTCCACATTTGAGTATTCATTGACGGACAAAACAATACTGGTTTTGAAATATTCCAAGCTCTAACAATGCATGTTAATAAGTTGTCACAAATTCCTGCACTCACTTTAGCCATAGTATTAGCACTCAAAGGAGCAAGTACCAATAAATCTGCTTTTTTTGAAAGTTCTATATGCAAAACGGGATCTCCTCTAGTTTTCCAAGCATCCCATTCATTTTGATCAGTATAAACATCAATTTTAAAATCGTTTCTAATTTTATCGACATCTAAAAAATGTTTACTAGCTTCTGTGACGACTAATGTTGTGCAAATGTTCTTTTGTACGAGTTGTGATATAATATCTGGTATTTTGATTGCAGCAACACTTGCGCTGCAAGCAATCAGAACATGTGGCATGATTATTGAGTTGAATTACTGTCCTTGGTATTTTTAATGTCAGCCAATCCAAGTTTAGTCCATTCTTCTTTAGCCATCAAATCGTTTTGCATACGGCAATCCAAATAATCTTTGGCCTCTTGACGACACTGTGAATTGTCCCCGCTGTTAACACTTAAGCAAAACATGTATTTGTAAGCAGTTTTTTTACACTGGCCTTGGTGATCTAATGGGAAACTACCCTTTTCAGGAGGTGTTGGCTGAAAACTTTTTTGGCCAAAAGTTGCAGAAGACATGTGGATACGCAATAATTATCTAACAAGAACAAATAGGATTCACAGAACAATGAAATTCTTAACCATGGAATACACTTTAGTGGTTATAGGTAATATACAAACTTATTATTTATTACAGAATTTACAGAACTATAAAGCTTTTTTTTATAGTAGCTACACCATAGAGTAATAATATTACCCTCACTTAAAAATTGTTAATATTTCACCAGCTATCAGTAATATTTTCATAGATAATAAATACAGTTCACAGATATCAGAATGTGATACTGTGATAAGAACAATTAGGATAATGGTATCTTACTTTTTCAAATTTTCACTTTTACACTTTACAGTTCATACAATGATTGTATAATAATATATTGTAACGCTGTTACAACTTTATTATAAAAACAAAAGTAAAATTAAATTTTTTTCCATTGGTTGCACAAGTTTTAAATTAGGTACTTCATTTGAAAGGAATATAGGATGGCCTCGCACATTAACTAAACTTAAATTTAACATAGGTATTTAACCAATTATTATTCATATAAATCATTAATTAGTAATAAAACAGTCTAAGTGTATTACAATTTATTATACAAAGGTATATTATCTTAACTACAATCAATTCGTACGATATAAAAGTATCTAAGTTGCGATTACATTACACGTCTTCCCATTTCCTGAACTTCTTTTCTATTATCAATATTTTGTGTTATAAATACAGAGTTGATCCGGAGCATTGTAATTTCTTTTCGTATAAAGTTGATCCTCATGAATTGTTTACGTTTGATACGTTCGAAGTGTGTTCTGGTGTGGGACAGGTCTTTATCAACCACCGTCGCGGTAACTTGCACAGTGTCTGGGTCCAAAACGGGCCTGCCGATCAGTGTGAAGTCTTTGCCACCAACTAACAGCACTTTTTGCAACTTGATACGATCCCCGACATTTGGGGGCCAGTAACCGTCTATCAGCACCAGGTCGTTGTCGGTGACTTTGAACTGCTTACCGCATATATGTACGACAGCAAACAATCGGTTATTGTTTTTTACAGCTTCGTTGACGGTTTGTATTATCGTGTCGGAAAACGTTTTGTGTGCGATCGTATTGTCGACGACATATTCCTGACTGATTGATGCTGAAAACGATCGAACGTTTAGGCTCGATGCAGCAGCAACAGCTATTCGGTTTGTGGACACGGTTTGAACTGTTTTGCTCGCAAGCTTCAGTAATTTATTGCACAGCATTATAGCTGTTCAAGATGATTAGACACTAGTAAATTTAGTAACAGATCAGAGTAACAGAATAATTAATTACATGGATAAATATTATAATATGAAACCGGACATAATACGACTAATGTTAATAAAATAATTAATAATAGCGTTTACAGATTTAAGTTTAAATATTGAAAATTTCGATTTACGAAATTTTACATAACCTCACAAATCCAGAAAGTATTATCTGGATGATAAGAATATTATTATTATTATTATTATTAAAATATTTTGAAAAATTATCGTATTTAAAAAGCTTATCAGTAAACATAATATTATTGCAGATAGACCTATGACCGTGTATTATTTCGAATAAAATATTATGTTTGGCAAGCCGGGCATAGGGTAATTTTTATATCATACAATTTATGAGAAATCCAACATAGTAACAATTGAACTGTTAATACAGCAGTGGTGGCTAGACTGTCAGCATGTAGTCGCGGGGAGCGGTAGGGGCCGATTTGGTCAATGATTATAATAACAACAACATATCAACATGTCAACATTGTCAACATCACAATTCGCAATAACAATTAACATTTCATAATTCGTAAATCCAAATTTTTCATAACATTGTAATCGTTTAATTTACCTAAAGTTCGTAAAATATTTTACTCGGACGATTAGACATTGGGATATCTACAGGTTTTTATTTTATTAATTTTTACGCCATCATCAAATCGACCGCGATAAGGGCACGTCACAGTATCAGACATATTTTGTCGACGAGTAGGCAGTGTACCAACGCTCATCTACATGACGTTTAATGTCAATCATTGATTAATAATATATCGGTCGTCACCTTTTGTGGATCGCGTCCGTGATGTAATCCTTTCCGCATTTTCGCTTACCGCTGAACACGTACACGGCCTTGGGGCGTTGACGCTCGGCCACCGCAGCTCCAGACATGATCTATACCTATGTGGCCACGTAATATCGATGTCTCGACGGTGACCAGTGACGAGTTACGACTACGGCCCAACACCTGAGCGGTGAACCGCTAGCGCGTGACTCGTCTCGCGTCCGCCGCCAATGGTTCTTAAAACGGCGTCAGAACTGAGCGTGGAATTAGTGTAGAACGCTGAACGGCGGCTACAAAAATTATAATTGCCCATCTATTGAGCTCGATATGCATATAATGATGATAAATGGTAATATTATGACATTGTTGGTCAAACGTTTTTCAAACAAATAATAATGGTCGACGGACGCGATTTGACGCTTCCCATGCCGAGCGATTCATTGAATTATATTTTTAACCTCTAAACCGTTGAGGTGAACCAACACGGTCGTAGTCTGAGTTTCGAGCCCATCGTGCCATTCATGGGTGTTTAATTATACTTGCTAGTTGCTTACCTAAATAGTATTAATTTTTTATACCCAAGTAGGTAGTTAACGCTTCCATGAGTCATAGGTACCTATATTTAACCTATATATTTTATAATCGCACGATTAATGGGTACCTATACTGACGGAAATGCGCGAGTAATGAATCATTATCCCATTGATTTTATAACGATTATCATAATAAATAATAATAATATGCACCTAATATATTATTATAATAATTGTACGTACCTACCTACTACGCGTTAGTGCAGTAGAACGATACATATTATGTAGCTATGAATAGAATATAGATACGAAAAGTGCTTTGCCAATGTTAACTATGAATCATTGTCTGTGATGTTAGATATAGCCTATACCTATATTATGTTTTATCTATGCAATATATTATCTACAGAGAATTTCTGAAACTAAAATGCATGTAATAGCAAATTAAACCACTTTTTATAATAAACAGAAAGTCATAACTTATATTCTATCATATAATTTAATTAATATGTACATTTGTATAGATTTTTATCAATATAAATGTATGTCATAAATTTTTTTCCGAAACACGCATGCTATATTTTGATTATAATGTATAATAATTATTATTACCATTATATTATGAAACCTATAGCCTATAGATAGTACCTAGATACCTATGTAAATTAAAAAAAAAAAATTAATTTATATATTATTTTTTTAATATGCCTAGGTAACACGGCAATTAGATTGTATTTTAAATTCTGTGATCTAATTGCCGTTCTAATTAAATTCTAAATAAAAATCTAATTTACCTAATAGGTAATTCTCTGTTTATATTATCATTTTGGTTTTTTTCAGGGATCATGAAATTACGTTCATTATTATTTTATATTATATATTTTAGATTCTGATTGGAACAATGAATGTATTGATTTTACAATGATGTGTGTTTTTTTTTTAATTTTTAATTCTTTTAATTTTTTTTGTGTCTGTCATCACCTTTTAGGACAGTAAAAGTGCTTGGATTTTCTTCAACAGTATCTTTTTTGATAGAAAAGTGAATCTAGTTGGTACTTTGAGGGGGTCAAAAGTAAAAAATGTTCAGTAGTTTTCAAAAGCACCGTGAAAAACGAAAGAAAAATTAAGGAAAAACGGGAATTTTTACGCAAAATCTGTTTTCGAGAAAATCGATTTTAGTTTTTGGTGTAACTTTAAAACAAATGACCGTAGATAAGTGAAATTTTCACTGGTTGTTTATATTTGCATTTTCTATACACAATAACATTTTCAAAATATTTTAATTTATTTTGAACTGTTTAGGGACATTTTCAGTTTCCAATTTCATTAGTTTTTCTTTTTTATGAATATCAATGCAAATTTATTAGTTGGTTAAAAAAGCTTGAAAATTTAATACAAGGCTCCTACTATATTGTTTCAAAGGCAGATGAAAAATATTAAAAATCCTTAGTCACAGTTTTTTTTATAACTATTTAAAGTCCAAAAATTACCAAAATATGGAAAAATCACGAAAATTAGCAAATTATTTTGAATTAAGAATTCGTAAAAAATTTTCTTTTAAAATGTGATACAAGATTCCTTATAAGATTATCTACATTTATCAAGAAATAAATGTCTATAAGAAAGTCAAATTAAATTTTTATGAGCGTTTGAAATTCAAATTTTTACAATATTGGATATTCACTCGATTTCTCATGTAGCGATTTCCTTATTTTGTTGTAATTCAAAAACGAATGATTGTAGATACATGAAAATTTCATTGAATGTTTATATTAGCATTTCCTATACACGATACAATTTTTAAAATATTTTGACTCTTTTTGAGCTGTTTACGGACATTTTCAGTTTTCAATTATCTTAGTTTTTTTTCTATAAATATCAATAAAGGTTTATCGGTTGGGCCAAAAAGTGTAAAAATTTAATACAAGGCTCCTGATATATTGTTACAATATCAGTTGAAAAATATTAAAATTACATGGGTACAATTTTTTTTATAATCATTTAAAGATCGAATTTTGGCAAAATTTAACAAATTTAAAATTGAATAAATATTTTGTAGTTAAAAATTTATAAAATGTTCAACTTTTATATCTAAGGATTGAAAATTTAAAACAAGATTCCACGTAAGTAGTTAATTCTGTTACCAAAAAATCTAAAAAATACACACTCGCAGTTTATTTTTATAGTCATTTTAAGTTCAAATTTGGATGAAATTACATAAAAAAACATAGAATAACTATTTTAGTTATTTAGTTGTGATTGTATAATATTATTCTTGGGTACTTGAAATTTCTCAAGTACATTATTATATATCTATGATAGTATCAGAGTTTGTTGTTGTATAACGCATTATAAGTACTAAAGTACCTAATGGATATTGTGATATGATTAATTTGGAATTTATTATAGGTACCTATAATACCTAGGTCAATTTTTTTTAATACCATAGATAAGTATATAATATGCCTTATACCTAGACTGACATACCGTCTTCGCTCAGAATCGTTTTCCTTATACAATGATATTATATCATTGAATTCAAATTTAATATCATCCATTATACAGTGACCTACTTGTAACCTACTGCACAGCAGAGCACCTTTTTTTAAATATGAACATGAGATCTTTGTTGCAGTACCTAGATCTCAGTAACCACTCATCCGATAATCGTGAGTTTTTTTGATATAATAGAATTCCTATATATCACGAAACAGGTTTTAAACATAGCAAAATGTTTCCTCTGTCGATGTGGGGGGGTCTCTAGATATTGTATTGACTTATGTAACTATGGTATTTGGGCTTTAATGTGCTGATTTTGAAAATTTATAAAAAAAGTATGATTTGCACATGAACAGAGGTAAAATAATAGGTACCGAAATACACAAATGTATCACCGCATGTTTTTTTAATTTTTCCTGGCCGAAGTCAGGTTTTGCAAATAAAGTATATCTCAAAGAAAGTTTTAAATTCTTTTCAACCCCTATATAGGCTATAGCTAGGTATCTAAAGTGCAACTCACACATGTATTTCTTTTCAGTCCTTGAGAAACAATAATATTTTACTTTATTGAAATGGTTGCCACTCGTTACATAAAAAGATTACATTACCTACTAATTAGTATAAATGTGGTATACACATTATTTTTCTAAATACATTTAAAAAAAAAAACCAAATCTTTAGCACAGACGAGGTCAGACAGGACAACTAGTATTATATACGTAAACAAATATTTGATTTCCATGAGCTAAAACGAAAATCCTGTGGGAGCCATCATGGAAAAACCTATAGGGGTTGAAAACAAAGCTGTAAACCCTCGCTGAATATGAAGGAATATGACGTGTGCAAAATGTGGGGCCAATTGGTTTGGCGGTTTTTAAGTCTATAAGTCCAAACCAAATGTACATTAGTACATTCATTACTATAAAAATATATAGAAAATTACCATTTACTTATTAAATAAGTTTTTAATTACCACTACCATTATATTTATTTTTATGAAATTATTGTAGATTATTATTATTTTATAAGCATTAAAAACACAGTTAAGTTTATTATCATGTTATAACCTAAGGGGCAAAGGCTATGGCAAAATATTCTCATAATGCATAATATTATATTATACTTAATCATATATT